TCATTTAAAATTCTAACTTCACGTGATTTACTTCTTTTTCATCATTAGAATAAGACTGTTTTATGCTATTGTAACATTTTATGGGTATATCGTATTTTTGTTACTGCTTTTTTTTCTTTCATTTTCTACATCTAATAAATTCTTGTGGACCGACCTTTTATTTCACTTTGGCTAAGGCAAGGCTATATGCGTAAGAGTGTAGCTTACCAACAAGCGCACGATTTGTTCGTCCGGTTGTTTGATATTATAAAAAAAATCTTAACAAATAACAATAATAATGTGCCACAGACAGCCACATTAATCATCTGGTCTTAAACTAGGGAATTCCCTGTGCTATAAGTACAGGAGCAACGGATGTACCTAGGGAGCACTATCCAGAACACTCAGACCAAAACCTTAGAAAAGGTTATTTTCCAAATTGGTATAACCAGCAATCGAATCTGAGACTCTCCATCCATCCCTTATAGAGCAAACCGTTTTCGCCACCGAGATCGTCAAATTCGATTCTTTTTTTTGCAATATCAAATGACGGAATGAATAAGTCGTGCGCTTGATGGTAAACTACACGCGTGTCCATAAAAATTGCAGTGCCACTCAGTGCTTTAAATAGCAAAGATCTGAGGGGCACTATCACTGCGCCCGTAACCTTGCGACATACGTTGACAAGTCCCATGTGCCTGTAATCCTGTGATTCTGATCATGTGTTAAATATAATGTAGCATAAGTAATATAAACTTCAAATTTCATTAATATTTTATAAAATAATATGTTGTCAGAAGATCAGGTGACTTACAATGAGCTGAACAGATTAGAACAGAATTCCATACTTTTATATTCACTTTTATTCTATTTTAGTACCATTTTTAGTATAAGTAAGTATAAATACATGGTTTTCTAACAAACTGGCACTTAAAGTACAAATGATAATGATACATCGTAACAACACTTCAATTCGCTGCTTGTCAAAAATAGTGGCCCAATCCAAAGTAGTTCCTTTTTTGAATTATTACTGAGATTTTTGTACAGAGAATGCTGAATTTAATTTTTAATTTTTTTTGTAACTTTGTTTTATTTTATTTTATTAATTAACTTGTGCATGTGACGCCGAGCTTTTCATTGGTTAAAATAATCATAATGACAATGTTGAGTGAGATCGTCTACGATATATCAATTTTGCGTCGATACACGTCTAGGGTTTTTTAAACCGTCTTTCTGATGAATTACTGTGTTTCGGTTGTGAAGGGTAAGGGTGCTGAAACTACAGGCACATGAGACTTGTCAACTTATGTCTCAGGGTGCAGTGGCGATGCCCCAGAGTTAAAGCTGTGAGTAATACTGCAACTGTTATGGGCAGGCGTGGACGCACAAATTGTTCGTCCCGTCACTTGGTATTATAAAAAAAATAAATAAATAGGTGCTTTTGAGATAGGCCAAAATTCTAAAAAGCCATCGAATAGATTTACGAAATCTGGAAGTTTACTGTAGAAGAGGACGTTCAGACATGTAATAAATCTCAATAGGTATTAAAAACAATGAATAGAACTAACAAATTAGCCAATCTAAACTCTTCAGCCAATTATCAGCATATCCGGCGTTTAATGTGGAGCCCGCATAATTTTAATACAAAATGGCTGTTAGGCAACTCTTTTGTTTCCTTGAGAATAAAAGGATGTTATTACGACTTGTTAGTGCTTTTATTGAGTCGTTTATTTCGTCTAAGTATTTATGCATTAATTTACATAGCCGTAATTGACTTACCGGTATAAAGTAATAATTCTACAGGTATCTCATAATGGCCTCTGCATTGTTTTCCACTGATTTCCGGTGAAAATGTCAATTGAAGATTATATACCAAGTACCTAGTATTATAAATTGGTGTGTATGAAAGACTAATAGGAGTGGAAGAGGCGTACGAGGTTTGTCAGGAGCGTAGCAGGTGGACGTCTATACCTCTGCTGACACGGAGGCGTGATGATATATATGTATGAATGTATATATTTTGGTATGTGTTTATTAATTTTTGGCAAGTAAGTATGTCATCGTCTGTAGTCAAGCCATAGGCATACTCGGCAAGTTTATTTGCTGTTTATATGTGTTGTCTTTTAATTTTGTGCTTTTCAAGGTATTTGCACAAAGAGACTATCATACCCTTGGTGTAATAATGTCACATATGCAAAATGATAATTTTTCAGGAGAGAGATTTAAAGATTCTACGAACGAAATTAGTTGTTACCTTTTTTATGTTTTAATAGGAGAGTTACAATATTTCATATATACTTGATTTGTTTCATGTAATTCGGATAATTTTTACGACTTTTGACGTATGATCATAATAATATGTCGTCGTAAATTATTCATTATACTGAAATGTTATTATGTTTTATATTTGCATAGTAGGTTTCAGCATATCATATAAGTACTTAATTAGAAGAAAGTAATATTTGAATGCATTTAAGTGAATCCCATAAAATAACTTTGCAGACACACAGATAACACCACAGATGTCCCTTGATAAAAAATGGCCAATGCTTTATATTGTTACTGGAGGGTTAAACTGATGAAGTTCATAAGCTAAAAGGTTTGGGGTAACGTAGTGATTTGCATATAATTGGAAAATCGAAGGAATTTAATGTATTTTATTAAAAAAAAATGATAAATTGTTATTAATAATTTTGGGATATTATTCGGGGTGTACGAAAAGAGCCTCTCCGCATGACTTACCATTCCTTTTCTGTACGTCTGGCGCATCCTGGGTAACAATAGGCGAGTACGTATTAGCACTATAGAGTATGCCATCTATACGATAAGAAGAATAATAGTATGGTTCTGTTTGTTCTTTAATGTTTTTAATATTACTTATTGTTATAATTATTAATACAATGATCGAACACATAAAAATTTCCTTCGATCAGGATGGATTCGATCCGACGTCTTCTAGCAAACCGTGCCAGACGCTATGCCAACTAAGCCACGGAACGAACCAGCAGACGTCACGGATTTTTCTATGTGCTTGTTGTTGGATCTTTGCATTTTGTTATCAACGACTTAGATGTGGTATTTCTAACCTTTCGAAAGCGTTGTTAGTTTGATTGTAACTACCTATATAATATCAAAGGTAGAACATAAAAATAGTACTCGTTCTTTAAACGTTACGACTATGTAGAACTATCTAGAACTGGATTTAAAATAGGAGCCTTTGATACCTTTAATATATAAATCTTGAAATTATGATTTATGGCGTAGTTACAGAATACAACACATAATGTATGTACCTATGATATCAAAAGTAATGAACGGTAAAGGGTATAATAAGGGTAAGTCGAGGCAATCTTCCCTTTGTTTTTGTATTATATTCAAGGAATTCAATAAAGTTTGCCTTATGAAAAGAGCAGAGTAGGTTGAAATACCTTTCATCTTTTTTACTAAAACTTGCTAAGATAAACCGTCTGAAAAATTAATTCTCCCAGTCATATTTCGTTTGAAGAGCAAGAATCTTGGATTCCATTTGCAGTATGCAGGAAAATTCACTTTGGTTTTTTTTCTTCAGTTTGTGAAGAATTTCGAATTCAGCTTAATTTGATTTATTTTCAGGTAGTCTCGAGCGGACGTTCTGTAGGATGCAATTAAACTAAAATGTAATGAAATACAAATGCATTAATGCTACTGAATAAGCTGGCTCACAGGCGTGGAACCAAATACCTACAAGGAAATTATTCAGTTTATTATGATTTGTCATTATGAATACTGCTATTTCTGCCAAGATAGTAAAGTTTACTAAAGCGGCTTCATGGAAACTTGTACTTTGAGAAATATTACATAACATAGAAGTCAATTTTAAACGATACGAACGATACGAAACAATCGATATACATTGATAATTACCTACTAACTAATTCTTCATTAAGATTGTTTAAAACGTTCTGAAGTGTATTTGCTGCACAAAACCGACGAATCGTACACCTGCCCAATGCTGTAACGTGATTATTTGAAATTTTAAATTGAAAGCTCCAATTACATTTATGTTCACTGGAAAGTCTGAATAAGACTCCGATTTACAATAAAATTTTGCACTGAATAAAGCTGTGTAATAAATGAAAAGCCGACTATTTTGGTAGATTGGAATAGGTGGTCTCCACTCCATGAGATTTCCAAAGTAGGTTAAAAACCGCTGTCTTAAGTAACGTTTTATGTCACCATGTGGCCGAACCATAATATTGTTGACATTGCTTATACTTAAGGAATAAAGGGTAACTTTATACGTATAAGAAGGAGCACGTTCAGCTTCGCACGTACGGTTTCAAATTCGACTCTACGCTATTTACGATAAGAATTTTTTTACAGGCACATAGGACTTGTCAACTTATGTCTGAAGATGACTGCCACAGTGGCAGTGCCCCTCAGATCTTTACGCTCTAAAGCTCTGAGTGGCACTGCAACTGTCATGGACAGGCATGTCGCTTACAATCAGGCTCACGAGTTGTTCGTCCTGTCACATTAATATAAAAACGAGAATAAGCACAAAAACTGAGTATGTTGTTGAGTGTCTAACCTTTGTAAGTCAATGGTCTAACCCAAACAATCGTGAAATATGAACTCTGCTACTATCTTAGAGTAAAGTTTACAACAAATTGATGGGTGGATATGTTATTACTTAAAGGTATTACATGAATACTAAGGGTTGTATATAGAATTTAATCATCAGGGTGCGTATAGCGCTGGACGCTACACGCGTGCAATTAAATGCGCCTCTGTAATGATCGCACGTCACGCGACGTAATGCACGTGTGCAACACGCGAGCCTTTCGCAAACGCGCGCATACACAGTACATTCGCCAGATCTAGACGCACCCTTAGATTTTCTGAGGCTTAAACATATTAAAGCTTTCATAGGGAACAAATGTTTAGACGGGATTTTTAAAATTTTGATGTTCAGGCTCGTATCGTAGTTTTTACAGTAAACTGTTGTGAGCTAACTTAATCGATAATAAAAAAAACATTACCTTATAATGCAAGAGACTCAACGGCCTGAAACAAAAAAAAACGAGATTACTTAAAAACACGCAGAAGCACAATGAGCTTTGCATAGTAAACAAGACGAAATTAAAGCTCGGAAAGTACGCAAACAATGTTAGCCAATTGTCGGGCCATGAAATTCAATAACGGCCAGATTTGCCCAGAGTCAACACAAAAACGAGTAAACAATTATTAATGTTATGGTATTACATTCAAAAAGACTAAGTCAATAAAACTCGGAATACATGAGTAAGCAAATCAAGAACAAGCAAACATGGAAAAAGTATGTCATTACCATTATAATAAAAATATCGTACCCTCTGCCTACCCCTTTGGCGTAAATTATGATAAACAAGCTGATTTTATGTATAATATGGATAAATTTATATAAAACAATCATGTGCCCTTTCACATTCATGGTTTACAATTCGGGTTACCTTTGTCTCGTCTTTTTTTGGTGAATATAATGACATTAATGTTTTACTATTCTAGATTGTTATTACAGGTATTGGTAATTGTTTTTTATAATATCAAGTGACGGGACAAACAAGACATGCGCCTGATGGTAAGCTACACGCCTGTTCATTACAGTTGCAGAGCCACTCAGAGCTTTAAATCGCAAAGATCTGAGGGGCACTGCCACTGCGCCCGTTAGTCTGAGACGTAAGTTGACCCTTTCAAAACCGGAACACAGTGATGGTCACAATACTATTTGGCCGCAGAAATAGGTTAGGTGGCAGTACTTCCATGGACGAACTCTTTCACTAGGAGCTCTAGTACTACTAAACAGGATATGGAGCAAGTGCAGTAGTGTAATAATAGTATTTAGCAGCAGTAGATATCCTTGTGAAAGAGTTCGTCAAGGGAAGTACTGTCACAATACCTATTTCTGCCGTCAAGTAGTAATGGGAGCATTACTGCGTTTTTTTGAGGGTAGGAGTGTTGGTAAAATTACAGACATAAGAGACTTGTCACCTTATGTCTCAGGGTGACGGGCGCAATGGCGGTGTACCTCAGATAGATCTTTGCGATTTAAAGAGTAGCACCGGAACTATCATGGAAAGGTGTGTCACCACCAGGCGCACGACTTGTTCGTCCCATAATTTGGTATCGTTGTTACCTTTGTTGCGTCTTTTTCTTCGTCATCATTATGACAATAATGTTGTATAATAATAACTATTGTACATGTAGCGAGAGCACATAGAGGTATTTACTAAATCTTAGTACGCGACTTCGAAGATTTTCTAAATCATTTGCTTTGATGCAAGATTACGATGTTTTCCACTCGTTTTATCTGTACATATTCTTGTGGATTTAATTGATTAACCGGACAAATTGTTTATCAAAATAGTTTACAAAATTTTAAACAATATTTTCTCAAAAACAATGTACCAATATAGGAAATGAAACTATTTTTCCAGATTTAAATCGCGTATTGTTGTTTTGTTATATGTTTTTTCAAACAAACCAAACAAATCATTTCCTATATGTAACAATCGCGAAAACCTAATAACTCGATAACAATGTACCAAACTGTGCAATGGTTTTACGCTGTACACAAACAAAATGCATCCGACCGGTGCGCGAATGCCCAATTGAATTTGTTTGTCTGTACCATTGTTCAAACATGGAGGTGATATTTATTGCATTAGCCGCAGTTGAATGTGAAATATAAATATGTATATTAGTTTCCCGGACGCTGGGCTCCGTTCTGTTAACAATTTATTTGCAAAATCGAATCAAATATAGATAAATAATTTACCGCTATTTGTCATATCATAATGTAAGATAGACTATGTGTTATTGATGTTCCCGTTTGCTCCACGAAAGGATAATCCCAGCACGACATAGGGCAACAATAGGCGAGTACCTTACGCTGATTGGCAATTCCGTTTGCCACGATGCCAAGCATTATAGTGTAGGTATGCTATCGATACGACAAGAAGTAGCAGAAGGCTGCTTCAAAAAGACGATCTGACATAGTTATACGCTAATACATTGGTTTCAAAACTTTTTGGCCCACTCAAGCAAGATAAAAAAAATTCAAAGCCCACCACCACAAAAAATAATTGAAAACAAGTATTTTTATATTAACACAAAATTACAAAGAAAAAATATATATATACATACTAAATATAAAAATATATATATATATGTAGTGTACAAACTTTATATAGATGGTTCACTGGGCGGCGGTAGGGACCACTTTAGGAAACTATGCGCTAATCCAATGCTGTTAAGTGACCTCACAAGTCTTCGAAGAGAAAAAAAGAAAGTGGTGAATAAGTAGAAAGGGAGACAAAGTTTTATAAATCTTCATCAATAATTAAGTCCAAAAAGAGAAGAAAGAAAATATACAAAAATCTGCATTGAATTTAAAAGATTTGAAAATACAAATGGAGAAAGAACCTCGTTTCTTGGAATGAACTTCAAATAAAAAAGTGTAAACAGGCACAATCTTATCATGGATATAGAAGTTACCATCTAGTAAATGGTACATGTTAAAAAGTTTTCCTTTCGGACACACTTTATCTTTATAACCATTAACAAAAGACCCTAAGTCCACAAAACTTGATGCTTATATTACAAAATCCCATTGAGCGGCTACAACAATTTGTGAACTTTTGTCGGCAGGACCCCGAAATTCATCACACTCGATGAACTCCAAAAATAAAACCGCGAATTGAATTAGCATAATTTGAAAATTCTCATTCTGTCGACCCGCAAGTTTAACCGAGCCTTCTGTAGCCTATTCTTAATTAAACATCCAGTTGTTCCGTAATTAGGGAGTATCTTGGAATGCCGTATAAATTGAGACAGTAACACATGTGGTATAATTCTCAAAACTTACCAAATAACTTAGGCTTTTCAAACTTGGAATCATGGTATGAAAATAGAACTCATGATATATTATGTATACAAAGAAATGGAATAGTATACACAAACATAATACTCCAGAAAAGAGATTTATTTTCTGTCCATTTTATACATTAGATTGCAAATACACTCCTAGATCTGAAAATTGTGTCAGTTACAAAAGGGATAATTCGCAGTAGAAAAAACAAATATATTATGTATTGGACCTGTATTACATCACTATACACGTTCCCTATACTTTACAGTATAACACGTTCAAGCTATCTTTAATATACCTATAAGGTACTAAAATAATGGGAATTTACTGACAGTACAAATTTTGTCCGAGGCAAACGCTAAAAGGTTCAAAATAGAACACTTTATGATATTCCGCAGCGCGGTTCTCGGAATAACTTCAACGAGATACCAGCCTACGAAGTTCTGTTGTAGCGTACGAATTAAGTCCTTATATCGAGATATTTAAAGGAAATTTTATTTTGAGAAAAATTTTCGACGACGAACAAGTCGTGCGCCTGGTGGTAAGCGACATGCCTATGTTTAGATAGCAGTGCCACTCAGAGCTTTAAATCGCAAAGATTTGAGAGGCACTGCTACTGCGTCCGTTACCCTAAGACATAAAGTAGACAAGTCCCACGTGCCTGTAGTTTCACCAGCACCCATACGATTCAAAACCGGAACGCAGTAATGCTCACATTACTGCTTGGCAGCAGAAATAGGTATGATGGCAGTACTTCCCTGGACGAACTCTTTCACAAGAAGCTACTTGTCTTATATTCACAGACAATCAGAGAGGGAGTCTGGTAGAGAGTCTACTTTCTAGCACTTGCCTCGCTATTCATTGGTCTCCGTCTGTGTAGGTCCAAGACACCGTCACGACATTAAGATGCCAAAAATCTACGAGGAGCTACGACCATTCTCTCGAATTTGCATTTCATAAACGGATATTAATTCACATTTTCGTACCATGCTGGTCCCCGATGCAAGACAACCCTTTTTAATGAGTACCTCAACAATTTTTTTTTCCATACCGTTGTTCTATAATAAACACTTTTTACAAAATCTTCTACAATATAACAATATATTATAATTTTATATTACATATCTAATAGGACAAAAGTCCTGTAAGATCTGGGAAAGCCCAGATCTTTCGATTAGACTAATCATCATTACTAGATTAACCTTTTATCTAATAATGTAATTATAACAAAATACGGACTCCACTCACCTAATCTCCAATTTCAATTGAGTGAACACGCAATTAGTGAGCCAAATGGCGCAGCTGGGGCTCGAATTTGGGTCCCTAATGGTAAAACTCGCCATTTGTCAGTGTCGTCCATCATTGTCGATTAATATCTGCTAGCGATATGCATCTGAGATTCATTAGTAGCAATTCTGTAGCTAACATTATTCCTAAACCTAAGGGGTGTTACACCGAGAATAGCGCGGCGCGGTTCAGTTTATATGAAATTCACAAGTTTGTCAACCGCACGCGGTCAAACAACTTTCAGTACAACGAATTTGGAAACCTTTATGTTTATGACAAAACCTGTCGACGGTCAATTATAAAAGCATTTAAAACTGAACACGCAACAAAATCTATATACAATACAATACATTATGTTCTTTATTGAACTCTAGAACAAATAAATACATAAACGCACACACTCATAGCCTCGCACAAGGGAAGCCCTGTATCGCGGGTGCTATGGATACACACAGCCAATCACAAATTACACTAAAACTCACGAGAGAAATAATTGTAGGCCATACAAATATTTCTCCCGGCCTGAGAATCGAAATCAGTACCTCTGCGTGGCAGATCAACATGGTAACCGTTCGGCCACGGAACAGTTAAACATAACAAAAAGAAAACAAAAGACGGGTACAACAGTCTGCCTTCTTACTACATAGCTATTATTATAGCAGTTACAAGATAAACTTAAAGATATTAATTAATATTTGGAGGTTTCAAATCGCTTAGTTCGTGTTTGAGACATGTAGACAAGACGAGTCAAAACCACACGACCGCAACAAACACTCGAAAAATTTAATATTCGTGTTTTTGTAGGTTAACAAGTTGTTGCTTATCAGCGTCCGTACAGATAAGACTTCATTTTAATACATAAAGCCAGTGA